CAAAGAATTTCTGCCTCTTATCAACATTGCAAGGAAACTTCTTACATGTTTTCAAGTGCTTCCTCATTGCGGAAGTACCATGAGCAACATTGTACTTTAACTCAGACTCACAGTGAATGCACTTCACGTTATATGTTTTTCCATCCCCATCTTTGATTCTTGCAAAATGATTCCAGCAATCGGATGTATATTTCTTATTAAAAGGAGGATGACGAGAACCAAGTTCCCTTTTTGTCGCACTCGTGGTAGGGGATGGCCCTTCTTCATTTTTATCGCCCGACAATTCAAATTCTGTGATCGGAGTCATCTCCTCACATCCCTCAACCTCCATTGACATGTTATCTTGAATTCTTGATAGTTGATATGTCAATCAAACAACACTGGCCAAGCAAACAACACGAGAACAAATTAGCCGAGAGCACTTGAACAATCAATCAAACGACACGAGAACATAACAAGACAGCAGAAAAGAAAATGCAATTTGAATCTCAAGCAGCCATATTCCAAAGTTGCAGCCATAATGGATCTTGAATGCAAAGGATGCGCATTTACACGGGCAAATAATAGGAATTGGGATGCCTATGTGAAAGAAAGACTAGATAGAGCTCCATGCAACGTAGATTGGAGAGTGACATCCCAGAAGTGGAAGCATATGCATTACCTGCTATAGACTCCGACCGTAGTCCTATCTTGAAGATAGAGAGAAATTAAGTTTGAAGCATACTGGCTTGAAGATAATGAATGTGGTCAAATAGTAAGTTCTTTTTTTTTTTGGTCGAAAGCTAGTAAGTAGCCCTAAAAAAGTGAAGCAAGCGAAAGTTCTCTAATAGTCAAATCAACTGCTTGAATAGGAAGCTTTAGGAGTCAACAAATGAGCAGAGCTTGCATCATGACATGGACAAAATGCAGCAACTGAAAATGCAAATTGAAGATCTGTGGAAACAAGGAGAAATGTATTGAGGTATGCGCTCGAATATACTAGCTGAACAGGCGTGACAGAAATGCTGAGGAAGCGCAATGGAATGAGCACATGCTGTTTTCTCTTTTTGAATAGCATACAGTAAATGATATTCTAGCTATCCCCCTCTTAACAACACCGGCGAAAGACAAGCTAGTCTGGACACGCAACCAAGCAGGAGGTTACGCTGTTAAAAGTGGCTGCAACCAACTCCAGGACATTGAGACTAAGCATGAAGCAAATCAAGCCTCATTGTCCTACCAAACTCCAAAAGCCCTCTGGACTAAGGCATGGAATCTAGAGACTCAACCCAAAGTAAGGGTGTTTACGTGAAGTGTGTGCCAAAATGCTCCACCCACAAGAGAGAACCTATTCAGAAGGAAGATTGTACCTGAGTTGACATGCCGCCTTTGTGAAAAGGAAACTAGTAGCTTCAAAATTATATGTTAGTTGGAATTGACAAGAATCAAGAGTAAGGTTATGGGATCTGGAAGGATCGAGCACGATCAAAATTGCTTGGCTTCAAATTAGGCTTTCTCAGTAACATTTGACTAAAGTTAGGCCCAATTTCTTATGAATCAACAACCTTACATGCTTGAGACCATTCTTAGGGCAACATTGACAGATTAGGGCATGTTAATCAAAATAACATATTCTCCTAGCGGCGACTGGTAAGATCATGAGAGGCTGACTGAGACTGCTGTAACAAGCAAAGACATAGGCTGTCAACGAATTGCCATCCCCTTTGTCTGCTCGACACAATCAGCAGCGTCGTCTTGCAGTGGTGCTTTCTCTTTCCAAACCTATTCACTAGCTTTTAAGAAATGACGACATATCTATGGTCTTTGGCATTTTTAAGCTTTGTTTTCCATTACCGCAATTGCGAATTTGTTGTTTGCCATAGTTTTCTCAAAGTTATTGTAGTAGAATATTTATCAGGCTTTTAGATACTTTTTAAAGTTTCTCTCTTAGGTTGGAGAGACAGAATGCAAGAATTCAAATGTTGAGTTATCTCTTGAAGGAGATCTACTTAACGAGCTAAATAGCCATCTCAGAAAATGCTAAAATTTTACAGTTTAGGTGTTAATATGCGGAGCTCGCACAGTCGCACAATTTCTTGCGTAAATTCTCGATGACCCCAAAAGGGTACTGCTTGGTGTATAATTTAACAACATTGTGATGGATGCGTTCTAACATCAACATCTAAAAACATGAAACCAACTCCACACAGAAATATTCCCACACCAAGATTTGATTGCTTACCTAATCCGAACTACAACCGAACAACATCGAAGGACAGCCAAAATGGAAAAGGAAAAATCTAAATCAAACATACAATTCCATTCCATACAATACAATCAAACACCCCCTCGAAAAAAAAAGAAGAAGAAGAAAACCTATCATTCACAATAAAGGTGCATTTGCCAAATCATCCCCAGATGATTCACTATGATCAAAGCAAGAAGAAAGCCAAAACCTGGTTATTTTTAAATATTTTTTGAATTTTATTTTTTTCCGTTTTTTTTCACTTTTTTTTCCACTTTTTTTTTGTTGTCTTCCTCCTTCCTCGGCCGCCGCCGTCCGGCGACCGGCCGTAGGCTCGTGAGGCCGGGCGCGAGCTCTCGAGCTCGCGGCCCACGGGCGAGGCGAGCCTCGCCTTGGTCGGGCGAGGCTCGAGCCCTCGCTGGAGGCCGCGGCGAGGGCGAGCCTCGCCTTGGTCGGGGCGAGGCTCGAGCCCCCGCCCGACCAAGGCGAGGCTCGCCTCGCCGCGGCCTCCGGCGGGGCTCGAGCCTTGCCTTGGTCGGGCGAGGCTAGCCCTCGCCGCGGCCTCCGGCGAGGGCTCGAGCCTTGCCTTGGTCGGGCGAGGCTCGACCTCGCCGGATCCGGCGAGGTCGACGCCGACCTCGCCCGACCATGGCGAGGCTCGCCCTCGCTGCGGCCTCGGCGAGGGCTCGAGCCTCGCCCGACCAAGGCGAGGCTCGCCGCGGCGAGGCCGCTCTCAGCAAAGGGGCCGGCGAGCTCGAGCTCGCTGCCTCGATTGAGCTGGTCCGCCGGACCGGCACCCTGCCAGGAAGGAGGAAGACAACCAAAAAAAAAAAGTGGAAAAAAAGGAAAAAATAAAAATTCAAAAAATATTTAAAAATATTAAAGTTGTCCATCACTATGATCAAAGCAAGAAGAAATAGCCAAACTAATCCTGTATAATATCTCACCAAAAAGGTTTAGACAAATTGGCACACGCTCACGGTTTAGACAAAACTAAAGAAGTGCACTACAGATCAAAGCAAGAAGAAAGCCAAACCTTGTAATGGCTCGTCACACGTCACGCAGAACAACACAACACACGCCATAACTTATGGCGTGAATGGTGAGGGTTGTTCAAGACGTTACGTACTGCAGCGACGGAGCTTCGAGGAGGAAGACGGCGGCGAGCCCGAATACTCGGAGCGAATCCACGTAGGGAGATCACAGGACCTGCGGCGAAGAAGGCGGAGCGAGGCGAAAGTGGGAGAGAACCGTGGAAGCGGAAGCGGGAGCGGGGGCGAGGCGGAAGCGGAAGCGGGAGCGAGGAGCGAGGCAAAAGCGGAAGCGGGAGCGAGCTTTGGAAGGATGATGATGGAGGATCGGGTGATTCAGGAGGAGAAGCGAGCATTTGGGAATTAGGGTTTCTAAATACTAAGTTTATGTTCCGGCTCCTATAGGAACCGGGAACTGGAACCGGAACAATCGGTTCTTAAAAATGGGGAACTGGGAACCGGACCCTCTGTCCATGGAACCTGGAACCGAACCGAACCGGATCCACCGGGTCCGGTTCTCTGGTTCCCGGTTCTACCATGGAATCGCGCTCACCCCTAGTTGTTACTGGTCATCTTCTTTGAGCGAGGGTGGCCGGCGAGGGCAGCCGATGACACCGGATCTGGACGGCGAAGGGCCGGTGAGGGCCCGACGAGGTAACCCAACCTAGGCGATGGCCGCCTGAGGTCACACAACCGCTCAGGCGCCGTCAGCCTGGGTCGCGCAACCCCAAGCGGCCGTCGCCTGGGTCGCGCGATCGCCTGGGTCACTCGACCTTGGGCAACGTCTGTCGGCGCCAGATCCCGCTCGTCGGCGGCCATAGCCCTTCGCCGACTCCGGCGAAGGGTAAGCTTTTTTTTTTTAATAAAAAAGATCCCAAATCCCTTTGCAAAAATAAAATAGCCAAACATTACTTGGACTAAAGTAACTTCACAAAGAATTTTTTTACCAAACGTCATTTGTATTTCCCTAAGGGACTTTAACCTAAAGGTATTTGCATTCCCCCAAGACTCATTTGCAAAGTTGAACCAAACAGGCCCTTTCTCAAGCATGTTCCAAATGGTGTTCGAGCCTATACTACCCAAACGGGCCTGTGATCAACAAGGTTCATAATCAACACTAGTCAACATACGAACACAAATTTCAATTAATTACTAATAAGGTTACTCGTCCATTTCAAATGTTAACAACGTTAATGTAGTTCCATTGACCAAAAAATCTTATATACGAGAGATTGGCAACGAAATACTAGTTTTTGAGCACAACTTGAATTTGTCACCCATCACTTTCGCGCGGTCCAATTGACGAAGGCACGAACCAACAAATACCCTCCATGGGTTAAATTTTATTTTCCCATTAGTTCACGTATTATTTCTTTTATATAGACTCGGTCCACTTTAATCATTAATCGAGCGATTCGAATCATGCCGATCCTTCACCTAAATCTTATTTTCCGAAATTAGGTGAATCATAACACATGCCAGACATGTGCAATCATACTTTACTTTGAAAAGAAGAAACTTAAATTCGACACTACCATAGTCTTCCTACGTACCTTCAAATACACACTATCAATCAAAAAAGCACATGGCATGCGTGATCTGTTGTGGACTCGAGCAACCCTAATCAATGCAAACCCCAATCCTCTCGATCGTATCATCAGGAACCTTCCTCTTCTCACATCGATCACCAATAAAGAAAAAAGGGCCAACAACTATAGTAAAAGCAGAAACTTGAGAATAGAATATAATCCACATAAAAAAGAGAAAACTTTTCTCAAACGAAAAACAAATTCTCATTATTGTGCCACATAAAAATGACTAATCTACCTTCTAAAATGGGGTGTTGTACTCTGATTCGATCACATTCTCGACTATGCATGAAGCATTAATTGGTAACGACACGCTAAAACAGAAAAAAAAGTGACTATGTTTTTGCTAAGAAATTGAGTACAATGAGGGAAGACATTATCATCGGGGGCAGTTTCTAGAAATGTAGCACGTAGAGAAGCGCACTAAGAACAAGAGAAGTGGCAAAAACAGCGGCATTCATCTCCAAGTGGAGAGAACTGGAGTCCACAAAAGCCTGTGGAGGGCTGAAGTAGTAATATGGGAAATACGGCACGATAGGCTTTGGTGGAGGCTGCATTGGGTAGTACCCGCCGTACGGCTGCGCATAAATGCTACCGCCACCGCTGCCCGCGGCTGGCGGAGGCGGGGAAGCGTGGACGCTTCCAGTTTGCGGTGACTCGCACACACTGCAGGGCGGCGGCATTGGCGGCGGCGGGCACTCAACTTCTGGCGGGGGAGGCGGGGGCAGAGATGGTGGAGGCGGGCACTCTACCTCTGGTGGGGGCGGCGGGGGCGAAGGCAAAGGCTGGCACGGGTTGTCGCATGCGGCGCACATTGTGCATGTAACTTGGTCTCTGGAGACTACTGCTGCAACCGGAGATGTCGTGGTTGACGCTTCAGTTTTAACCGCAACCGTCGTTGCTGTTGACGTGGTTGATGGGATAGCGAAGCCGAAGATTAGGAAGGTGAAAAACAAGTGCAGCAGGGAAACGTTTCTCGGGTCAAGCATTATTGCTGCGGTTCAATGGAGAACAGACCAAAATCCTCTGGTGAAGAAGAAGAAGAAGAAGGGCAGTGAATTTGGATGATTTGGAGAGACGTGAGAAACTGGAGGATTCTTAAGGGGGTCGGCGAGGAAGGGATATGAAATAATAGAGAGAGAGAGAGAGAGAAAGAGAGAGAGAAGATGAGATCACGAGGGCATGGGTATTGGTAACCGCAACATATTTGGTGGTTTATCTTCTACGGCATTATTATTATAATTATCCGGAAAAAATACAAAATAAAGAAATGGACATCGAAGAAGATGGAGGAGACAGTTTTTGGTGGTTTTTTTTTTTTTTTTGAGTTTTTCTCTACCACAGCTCCTTTGCGTAGCAAAGGAGCTAATAAAGGGTTTGATGAGGCCAGCTCGACCTCCCCGAGTTGAGACGTAACATATCCTTTGGCAGCATTTTATATCGCAAATTATGCAAAGAAACATTGAAACGACGGCACGTTTCTTGCATGGAGGAGAACGCTACACGTGGTCGGATTCCTTCAAGGTTTATGCTCTCTTTTAGGAAAAGAAAAGGGATAATGACACAAATGGTATCTGAATTTTGGACTAAATTTTGATCCAATGTGTAATGTGATCACTAAGTTTTTTATTTGATCAATGTGGTCCCTGAACTTTTAATTTGTTCTTGTAGTCCCTAGATTTTTTATACATGTTCAACTTTATCCATGAACTATATGAAAATGTTCAATGTTATCCTTTCATTAATTCAAATTTAATGACAACATTGAACATTTTCATAATAAGAAAGGCGAGGAGTATAATCCTATTGAATCTATCGGATGAGGTGTTAATGGAGATGATCGAGGAGAAAGATACCACGACGTTGTGGGCAAAACTTCCAGCACTTTATGTAACGAAGGGTTTGAACAATCGCTTGTATATGTTAAGGAGGATGTTTCAATTTAGATATACTGAAAGTACGTCTATCAGATCCCATCTAGATGACTTTAACAAACTCATTATGAATTTAAAAAGCGTTGGTAAGATTCTAGATAATGAAGAACATGGCATGATATTGTTAGCTTATTTACCAAAGTCAATGATTAAATTGAATAGGTACCAAAAATTTAGGGGCTGCATAGAACAAATTAAAAGTTCATGGACTACATTGAATAAATTAAAAATTCATGGATTATATTGCACATCAAACTAAAATTCATGGACCATTTGTGTTATTTTTCCAAAAGAAAATATGTACTTGATGCTGGCATATGATACCTAGGAATCCAAGTACAAAAAGGTTTACATTTCGAAAATTTGAAACTAATCGGGATTGGGTCGAGTTATTGCCACAAGGACCATGAAGCCAATGATTCTACCCCGAAAATCTGCTTGGTAGAGCTGGTTCCGAGGTAGACCCGACCATAAAATCCGTTCTAGATTTTTTTTATTTTTCTTCAAAAGAAACTGAAACAGCTCTCTTAAATGTTAATGTTTATTTTTACAAATTTTCACCCATGGTATGATCCAACAATTTTTTTAAGCAAATTTTGAGTCCGTGTTGGGTACCTAGGTAAGTTTGGTTCGGTTTGTTTTACAGAAAATGAATAATTTAAAAAATATTTTTCTAAAAAAATCTCTTATATCGCGTGGAATAATTGGTTAAAGATAAATATTTTCATTATTAACAGTAATTTATGTCTAAATATTTTTGTGAATGATTAAAATATCTTTCATTTGTTTATTTTTGTAAATAATATTAGCAATTATTTTTAGAAAATTATTTTTTAATTTTTGCTCGAAACAAACGCTTCTAGTTTCACTTTTGAAATCTTGCTAGGGACACCGTCCGCCGAAAAAAAATAACTGTTTGATGCGTAGACAGTTGACGTTTGTGTCCATGCAAACCGGGTAACTGTTTGACTCTGAGCGCACCACATGTCCTTAATCAACACTTCTTTTCTCACCATCTAATCAGAAATTTGACAACATCATCGCATCGGATCTCTCGTTTTCTCTAGTGGCAAGTCAACGACGTACTTACCCACTAGGGCATGAAAAAACGCGAACTGAACACTCGTGGAATCACACGTCGAAAGTTTAATAACGTCTCACGCATGCTGTCGGCCATGGGACGACAAAGGTAATTTATCTCTCGTAGAGCATTCGCAACCGCTATTAATTTGTCTCGTTCCGTTCTCAATTCACGTTGCAGAAGATACGGCGATAGTTGCAGGATGCGTCGTCCTAAGTGCAATTTCTTTTACACTTGCAAGTAAATCAACGAGATTGCAAAATTCAATCATAGATTCGTAAACGATACACATATTTTGACTAAGACGACGAACATGGTCGTCCGGAGAAATCTTCTCGAGTATCAAAACTCGTAAGAGTCCTCTTGGAGAGATAATGTTAGGTACGACCGGTGCATATCGACTCTCAGATTATTTGATTTTGTGTTAGGTGACACACGTGATCGAGGATCGAAAAGTAACATTGACTCTATCAAAATAAACGAGTGGTAAACATAAAGTGGAGTTTAGCAAGAATTTCCAAGATAAACCAATTGGAGATTACTCAATTGGGGGATTCGTGATGACTAGCCATGTATGTACCTTTTATGTTTTATCATTATCCGTTGCATGGCGAGTGTAATGTTGGAATGTTATAAGATGTGTTGAATACTTATTATATTATGTTAAAAAAGGGAAAGACTCGATGCACAATTAAAAAAGGAATATTGCATGTGCTTGTTTTGGTATGTGCTGAACAAAAATAGTCACAGTAGATATTAGAATCCACCCTAACAACTTAAACTTATAGGTGGAAAGGAAACCGCATATACAAAGAGCATAAAAACTCCATAGTTAGGTGATGTTGGATATTTCAATGGTATAATTGCTTTACAATATTTATAATCTTGTAGGATGTTTCTTTATCGTTGTGTTTTATGTGGAATTGAAATTTTCCAGTAAAGGATTTGTCATTGATACAATTTTACAAAAAGAGATTCAATAGCTGTAGTCGATCTTTACAAATATATTGGCCTTTCAAACGGGCAGATTGGGTTGGGTCAAAAATAGTTGGACCCAAATTGACCTACGTAACTTGTTTTGTTTCATTTATATGCAATACAAATGAGCGACCCATCTTGACCCGACTCGAAATCCATTTTCAGCAAATTTATTCTTAAATTGTTGCCTCTAAAGATGGGTGACTCTATGGACCAGCTCATCATAATAGTGAGGGAGCTCGGGGTCAAGTTATGGACGAGGGGGTGAAGTGGTGGTGAAAGTCTATGCCAGGCCATCCATAAATCATGAAATGAATTTAGGCTTTAGTTCGATCCTAACATGGCCTTTTTTTGGGAAAATTATAAAAAATGTCATAAACCTGTTGCATTTGTGTCAATTCAGTCATAAACTTTTCAATTATGCCAATTTAGTCATAAATCTTTTTATGGTGTTGCTAATTGAGTCCATTTGGATGGAAATCGCTGACATGAACACTAGGCGTCTTGCGTGACACAGCAGGTATTAACGTGGACAATTTTAATAATATTTTCATAATTTCTCGAATTTATTACAATTTTTATTTTCCCTTTTCTTTCTTATTTTCTTTTATTTTCTTTTCCTTCCTTCTTTTCTTTTTTTTTTCCCACCGTGGCAAGCGAGGGTTGCCGGAGCTCGCCAGCCATTGGGTGAGGTTTATCTCCTTCTGTCGAGATTTTCCCCAAATGTGGGCAAGGGCGACGATCCTCACCAGGGGCTGGCGAACTCTGATGAAACTCACCGGCCACGGTGAAAAACAAAAAAGGAAGGAAAGAGAAGAAAAAAGTAAATAAAAAGTAAATAAAAATTTCAAAAATATTTAAAAATTAAAAAAATTATCAACGTCATCACCAACGTACCACGTAGGACAGCCGGCATCCACGTCAACAATTTTCAATCGGATAGACTCAATTGATAAAACGTGAAAAGATTTAAGATTGAATTAATTATACTAATACAATAGATTTAGGACTTTTTTTTTAACCTTTTCCCAATCTTTTTAAAGACACCGTCTGTAAAAAAATACTCTTTGATGTGTAGATTGTTGACGTATGTATCAATGCAATGTCGGTAACTGTTTGACTTTGAACGCTCCACATGTCCTTAATCAACATTTTCTTTAATGCCCTCTAATTATAATATAGTAACACCATTGCATCGGATCTATCGTACGCGATAGTTACAAGATGCGTTCTAGGTGCAATTCATTCACACTTGCGGGTAAGTCAAAAAGATTTCAACATTTAATCATAAATCCGTGAACGATACATTATGTTTAGAATAAGACTCCGAACATGGTCGTCCGGAGGAATCTTCTTGAATATCGGAACTCATAAGAGTCCTCTTGGAGAGATAGTGTTAGGTACGACCGGGGCATCTCAACTCACAGATTATTTGGGTTTGTGTTAGGTGACACATGTAACTGAGAATCGGAAAGTAACATTGGCTCTATCAAAATAAATGAGTGGTAAACATAAAATAGATCTTAGCGAAAATTTCACTAATACACCAATTCAGCTACGTTTGGTAGTTAGGATAAAAATCATCCTATCTTGTATGTGGTTCTTGTCCAGGATAAGATCAAATCAGATATAAGAGGGAGATATGATAAAAATAAATAATAATTAGAATAATAATTATAGTAAAAAAACAACAATTTTTGTTTTCATTTATTTATATTTTTATTTATATAGTTGACCTTCTTTCCATTCTATAGTATATATTCTCTATATATACTTAATATTTCTATTCATTACATATTTTAGGTATATTAGTATAATTATTTAATAAATTTTTTATCAAGAGGGGAATAAAAAAGAAAAAAATTAAAAAACGGAAAAATTATAAAAATAAGTAAACAAAAATGAAGTAGAAGAACCCATATTATAAATGAAAATATTCAAACTTGAAAATGATCTTTTTAATTCTCGAAAAATGATGGGTAATTAGATTTCCAAAAAAAAACTCGACCCTCTTCTTCTCTTTCTTCTCTGTATCTCTAATTCGTACTAAAACTTCACAACTCCTTCGTAGTTCTTTAATATACATCAAAGCTCCACGAAAACGGCAAGAGAGTAGAAGCACTATACTTTTCGGAATCGTAAAGGTAAATGATCATGTTTTCTCTCTTACTAAATTGGAATTCGTAAGCTGATCTACCTCATTGATATTGCTAGAGCTCGTTTACATTTCTTATCACAGTTAAACACGTGGCTCTACAATGCTGCAATGAGCTCCTTTGCTATGTAAGATTTAGATTGTACAATAATTATGGATTGATTGATGGAGGTTGTCTTCATTTGTGTATTTGTGTTTCTTTAGCAGTGAATCATGAGAACCTAGTACTATCTCCGTTTGTGCATTTTCAGGTTCATTTAGACTCATATGTCGTTCATGCCAAACAATGGACATAATAGAATATGAAGTATTTGGTTTTCTTATAGCGATTCACCAAATAGTGGATATGGTATAGCAAATTCTCTGAATTTCATATCCTATCCGGACTAAAAATTCAGACGACCAAATGCAGCTAAAAGATTACACTAGTGTACCCTTCCTCCTTTGTCTTTATCCATTGCATGATGAGGGTAATGTTGGAATGTTATAACGTCTATTGATTACTTAATATGACTTGTCGCGTTGTGTTAACAAAGGGAAAATCTTGATAAGCAATGAACAGAGTAATATTGCATGTGCTTGTATTGGTATGTGCAGAACAAAAATAGTCGCAATAGATATTAAAAAGTCTACCTCAAAAGCTTAAACTTATAAGTAGAGAAAACTATATGTACATAAAAAATATATAAATTTCATAGTCAAGCAATGTGTGAGATATTTCAAAAGTAGAATTGTTTTAGAATATTTGTAATCTATCACCATTTTTTTTTGTGAAACTGAAATTTTTCTATAGAGAATTTGTAACCGGTACAATTTTATGGAATGAGATTTGATAACTCTAGTCAAACTTTACAAATATACAAGCCTGTCAAATAGGTGGATCAGGTCGGGTCAGTCGAAAATAGTCCAATCCACGTTGACCTGTTTATGTGCAACATAAATTTAGTCACCCATACCTAACCTAACCTGTATACAATACCCGACCCGACCCGACCCGAGATTCATTTTTAGCCAAGACCACACTCACCGCCTACCCCCTCATTGGACCGCTGCCTTTACCAAAGACCTTCGGAGAACTGAGGAGTGCTGTGGCCGAAGCAGGTGGAGGTCCTTGGCCTTATACCAGAAGTCAATGGAGGTCCTCGACCTCAGATTGGAGGTTGCGAACCTCCATCTTCGTCGATTTGGAGGTTGCTGCTTCTTAACATCGCGCTCTAGCTTGAGCTCGAAGTCAAGAACACGAATGATTCCTTCCTATCGCTGTTGCTGCTGCGAAACAGGTCGCGGAACCTCAACCACTTTGAGGATAACCCCGTCAAGTTGCTCTTCTTGCACCTGAAGAAGTTTCATCCTCACAGATTGTGAGTTGGACATGGTAATGAAAATGGGTTGAATATGGGTCCTGTGCAAACCAACAAGGACCATATAGAAATGGGCTCAGATGTTTTAAACCATTTTCAGCCATTTATAAGATTTTAAGTGATTTATATGCTGATCTATCCCACTGAGATTGAGTTAAAAATTGGGTTTCTAATCCATATTAACACATCCACAAATATACAATCATTTACTTTGAGGGCAAAGAGTTGTGTAGTTCGAGTTTGCTCAATTTTACTATTCTAGGTAGGCCGTGTACGAAAATTAGTCACATGTGAGTCACATTTATCGCGCCTCTGCGGGCACGCACCGAAGGGAGTGGGGCTTTGTTCCTTGTTATCGTTGCTGGTGGAACGCGGAACAACTGTGGCAATGCCCCTAGATCTCTTAAATCAAGATCATTAGGCGTCTCCACCAGATCTTGGTTCGATATCTGGAGGTGTTGCTGCCGTTGGTGGCAATAACCAGCTCCAGATCAAGATCTAAAGAGGATCACACGTTGAGATATGGAGGAGTGCATCTCGCCCACAAGATGAAATTTGGAGGAGTATCGTCTAGATCTCCATGGTGAGATCTAATGGCTCTGTGTGACATCGACAGCGGTGCTGCGTGTGCACAAGACAGAGGACTACGGTAGTTCGGCAGTCGAACTACGTATTAGTGGTGGTATGTATAACGGCTCCAATGGTGGAGGTAGTTGCCAGTCAAGGAGATACGGCATTGTATCGGACAATTGCTAGGTGTCGATTTTCTAATGGAGGGTACGAGAAAAGTTGGGTAAAGTGCAAAGTTACCGGAGATTTTCAACCTCGAAGAATTTGATATAACAAGACGATGCACCTTCCGTGTTTAAGGAATTTGCCACCATCCAATCCTTCTTAATTCTTATAAGTAAGAGTTGAATCTCCCACCCCCTCTTCTGCAACGAGAATTAGGGTGTGCATGAATATCATTCTGTGCCCGGAAACTATTTCTGAACAGAAATGATTTTTTTTTATTCTGTGCCCGGAAATAATTTCTGAGTATTTGAAGGCGTTTGATAAACTGACCAAAATTTCTATTCCTAGAGTAGAAAAGAACAGAAATGGGTTTGGTAACTATACAAAATTTCTGTTCCCAAATAATTTTTTAATAATATTTTGAATTGTTTAATTTTTTTTTTCTTTCTACCCATTTTCTTCTTTGGCCATGGCCGGTCGCCGGCCCAGGCCCAGCCCAGGGAAGAACAACACAAAAATAAGAAAAGAAAAAAAAAAAAAGAAGAAAAAACTAATCCTCAAAATTGTCTTAGAAAACAAGAAAACAATTTTTTTTTTCGTTTCTCTTCCAAAACCTGCTTTCTCGGCACAAATTTTTGCAAAATGTGCCCGAACAAAAAGTTTTTACAAAATGATTGCTCCTCAAACTATTTCAGAACAAAAGAATATAAATTTTCACTATTTGGCGACGTTGCCAAACGGGCCCTTAGAATGGCCTAGTTACAAAGTCTGCCTGTTAGAAGATGGGACATAACATGGAGGGGTGGGACCTTATCAACAACACCAGCTTGGCGACGCAACTCGAACCTCTGGTCGTTGGTTGTTCTTGCATCACGCAAGACAAGCATGGTGTCTGGTGAGTAGAAGAAGAGTCCACACGGATAGCCAGTTAATACGATAATCAGAAACAGCGGGCAGTCCTAGGACAAAACTTGATTAGGACGAAGGGTCGTCGCGACTTCGTGTACGTGGAGCGAGCGAGTGTAGTGGAAGTGCCCTCTGACAACACAAGTTTTTCACTTTCAGCACGACAGAATCTACGTGAAAAACTCTGTCGAGTCACACACAGCAACCGCAGCTAATCGCTTCATCTTTTCTTGTTAACCTCCTAATGATGGTTGAAGAAGACATGCCCGTTTCGTCACGACCGGAAGAGACAAAACGATCCGTACCTCGAGAAACTTCCCCCGAACCATCCTCCTCCTTCGACTTCTGGAGTTTTTCTGATCATCATTGAGAATGTGAGACGACAAAGAAACCAGATAGGCCTGCACACACCCACATCGAAATGACCGTTTTGGGCCCGTCCATCTCCCCCTTTTAAGGTCGGACCACCACCCTCGGTAAGGACGGTGAGATGCTCCAGGAACATCCCCAAATGAAAAGCCGGATTTCATCAACCGACGACGACGAAGGGGACGGGGACGACCATGCCGCCTACCTCTGGTGGCGGTCGGCGGCGGGGTACGAGGAGTGCGCGCGGCTCGCCGGACGACCGGAGGCGGCGGCGAGCGTTGCGAGCGTGCTGAGCCCGAGGGTGAGGGTGCTGAGGGAGATGGAGAGGCTGGCGCTGGTGGCGCCGGAGGGGCTCGACGAGGTGAGGCAGAAGCTGTTCGCGTACCGGGCCGGCGACTTCTGGGTGCCGACCGGCGGGCTGAGCAAGGAGGAGATGGACATCCCGGCCACCAACACGGTGCTCCTGGCGGGCTTCGCCGGCTCCGGCAAGAGCTCGCTCGTTAATCTCATGTACAGCGTGTTGGGCCGGGCCGGCCTTATTCCGTTCGCCCAGACTTCGTCTGGTGAGGAAGCCTCAAACACCCTTCATTTATCTGTTCTTTTTGTTCTCATTCTTAGTTCTTCTTTTGCTAATCCACGAAGCAAGAGTAATGGTGTTACAGAATCTTATTGAAAGGAAGGCAATTGCATGTCATAGCAGAGTAGTCACGTTTCTTATCGATCTGTCGTTGATACAAAGTTTAATTTTCCACTAAAAGAACGAGAAATTCTCACTATAATGTTGATTAGTCAGAAAGGATTTGAAGCTAGAATGGTGACCAGCATAGTATATAGTTCAGTGGAAGTATCAGCATTGCTTTGTGTATAGTAGGAAGACTCTAAATCGCAACTTTTTGTTTTCATCAAGTTTATAGAAAGACCTACTACAAGACGCCTTTGACAGGTCAAGGAAAGGTGTTCAAATTGATAAGTCACTGGAATTGCAGGTGTTGCAGGGTTGTATTATGTTTTCCACTTGAATGATGACGTTTTCAGTAAGATTTCTCAGGGGAAGAAAATGTAATTATGCGCTTCTTCCATGTCTCTGCAGGGAAATCTTCCAGCTACACGACGATGTATCTCGAGGAGCACAATGTGGTGAGGTCGTTGCGGAGTGGCTTCTGCGTCTACGATTCGAGAGGATTTGATTATGGCCGCATTGATGAGGCCTTGGAGGAGCTGTCTGATTGGATGAGCCAAGGAGTCCACCACAACCAGCTCTGCTCGAGGCCGGGGGATCGAGCCTTCTCGGAGGATGAAGCTGAGTTCTGTCCGTCGAGATCTTCTTCCAAGTTCATGAAGAGGAGAGTGAATTGTGTCATGGTGGTCGTTAACATAGCCGAGGTCCACAAAGCGATGAAAGCCGGCGATTTCGAGCAGTTGAGAGCGACCAAAGAGCTGTTCTCAGCTCCTGCTTTGAGAAAATGCAGTGAGTCCTTTGGCTTCAGTTGTATTGTTTTCTCAGATTGTTTTAGAACATTTGAAATTCATTGGTCAATCTGGTGGATGCCTCTTGTGGTTGCAGATGAGAGTCCCCTCTTGATCCTGACGCACGGCGATCTGTTAACACCGGAGGAGAGGGTCGAGGCCCGTCTCAAGATATGCGAATGCCTTGGCATACCGGAGGCGAGTGGAGTCTACGACATCGTGTGCCTCACAGAGTACGGCTTTCTCGCCGAAGAAGCAGACCCCATCACGGCTTATTCTCTAGCCGAAGCCGTCTACCGGGCGTTGCTAATTTCTGACAGAGGTCACGTTCCCAAAAACGACCTCCGAGACTGGGCGTGCGTGGCATTCTCGTGCCTGATGTGGCTCTTCGGCGCCTTGTTCAGTTTCCTAGCCGTCATCTGCAATAAACTCGGGCAGCGACGAAAAGGGCTTAGGATTTGAAGCATTGGCATGAGCTTTGTTGATTCATTCTCAGGCTGCAGATGTAGGATTTAGTTAGCTGTGCTGACACTAACGGAGGTAGTTTGATGTACCTAGCTAATTGACTGATCTTCCTTCCTTCTTTTTTGTCTCCCTTGTGATTGTGATGGAGATGAGAATTGTAATAATGTCCCTGAAGAGACCTGTATTTTGCACAAAGGCGCTGGATCCAAACAAGGCACTTAGAAAAGTTGTTGAGTGAATCCAGAGCGCGCGTTCGATGTTACGATGGATCTTACACGCAAGTGGATTTCCATCATATTAAGTACGATTCGGATGAATTTCAATGTACTCATCTAATGTCGACAATCGATTAAGATTTGTGATGTTGCGACATGACATCGGGCACTCGAATTTCAAGCTCCTTACCTATGTCAGTTAACAATTCGAAGCGAGAATAGGCCTGACATGAAGTCAACGGCAATGTATCTCAAAAAAAGCACTCGATAATAACCCTCGAAGAACAAAAAAACACATTATGTTTGTTTCGGGAAAAATAAATTATTTGAAAAATGTTTTTTTAGAAATGTTTGATTATATTACTTATAAAACTGAATGAACGAAAAATATTTTCATTCCTCACGAAAATGAATATTTTTTAATATTGTCCAGTTATTTTAAGCGATAATAATAATCATTTTTAGGAAAATTACTTTAAATTATTTATTTTTCGCGAAACAAGCGGAGCGATAAGTAAAATTTATGATGATAAAGCTGATTTTACCTGACGTCAAATAATTAAAGGGTGAAAAAACCGAAATTCGAATTACAGTTGTTTGGTTTCACTTCTGACCAAAGCCCGAAGTTGGTGCGCGCGAGGAGCCGGAGAAGGAAGAGAGAGAAGATGTCAACTCTGATCGACGTCGCGGAAGGAGCAGCGGGACTCCGACCGCCAACGCCGAGCGCCTCTTCTCCGCCGTCCTCCTCCGCCTCCCCCTCCCCCTCCGCGGCGAGAGCCTCCCGATGAAGCCGAGCCGGAGATCACGCCGTCGACGACGCCGCCCGGCGACGGGCGCGACGCTCGATCCTCGTCTTCCGATCAGCGGCGTCTCGCTTCTCTCGACGTCTTCCGCGGCCTCACCGTCGCCGTACGCTCCTCTAACCTGTCCGTCCTGTTTATGCGGAACGCGACCTCTCCCGTCGCTTCGACCGCTTCCCGATTTGCTGATCGTAGCGTTCGAAGTGCTCGGTTAGGTTATGCTTGAGCGGTTATCACTTTGCAGTCATGCTTCAGCTGAATTGGCGGTTTACAGCCTTCGCGATGCTGTTATCTAGTAGCATTATGTAGCTGATGCATCGCCGGACTGAGTATTTTGGGAAGTTATTTCCGTTTCCTTTAGTGGATGGAATGTGTGTGCTTATAATCGTGTGAGCGAATTGATTGGAGCGATGAATAGATGAAGATTAATCCAGGTAGTGGCTTGAGTTGAATTCATTTCATGATAGTGCTGGTCCTCCAGCCATCGAGTTCACCGGTATCCTTTGCTCTTTCTAGCGTTTTAGCTCGAGGCAAGTATCTGATCGCAAACATTGGCGTTTGCAGTTTTAGGTTGGCAACATTGCTCATACTTTTTTGTTTTTTCTGATCTTAATCTTCCTTCATGTTTCTGTTTCTTGCAGTTGATGATATTAGTTGATGATGCTGGAGGAGCTTTCCCAGCAATCAATCACTCACCTTGGTTTGGTGTAACACTCGCAGATTTCGTGATGCCATTCTTCCTCTTTGGAGTGGGTGTCTCTGTTGGTCTAGTTTTTAAGGTACGGATGCTTTTCAAATATGAAAGCCCAAGAGGATGAGGATCCTAGTTACGGAGAAATATTTCGATCATGCAGATCAGTTTTGCTGGATGATGTATATGAAGCATATCGAAATGCCTTTCAGCTATTTGAAATAATTTCATAAAATTTAAAATGTTCTCTTAGTTGGGCAAACTAACATTGACTGAGTGTGTGATGAATTGATGCGATTTATTTTGGGACACTTAAAAAATGGATATGTAATTATATTCTAAGTAATTGACAACATGAAGCGTTGAATTCAGACTAATTATGAACAAGGACACTTGATGATGATATGATGTAGTCTAAACTGCATATTGAAATGGGGGAAGAGTTCTACAGCTTGTCTCTACGAAAAGAGATTACAATTGCTTCTTGGGTTGGACCCTTAAATTTTAGACACCAACCCATAGCAAACTCCCAATTCTCAGATTATGTAAGTTGCTTGGGCCATAAGAGTTATGTTCGGGGGCTACTTCCTTCTCCTAAAAATTTACTAATCACTTCTAGTTATTTGTGCCTCTTTGCAGAAAACATCTAGCAAATCATTGGCCACAAGGAAAGTCATAATAAGAACTCTTAAGCTCTTTCTTTTGGGTTTGTTACTTCAAGGTAAAAATTCCCTAGTCATGTGCCATTTTTTGTACTGCTCTTGCACATTATGCTTGCTGTGGTAACTCAACTGCTTGATGTTTCTGGTATACTAGGTGGCTACTTCCATGGGCGCAATCAGTTGACATATGGAGTTGATGTGGGCAAGATTCGTTGGCTAGGAGTGTTGCAGGTAGCTCTTCTGACTTACGTTCAGTTGTTGCATGCCTTTATCTTCTCTGGTTGAATATTTTTTTCTGTGATGGGGGTTAAAATTCAAAGTTAAAGTGTGGTATCATGTTATTTGGAGATGATAGGGAGTTCTTTCATCACTGCAGTGAACTCATTGAATGTGAACTCATTGAATGTGTTACCTTAAGAACATTTATTGCAACCTTACTCTAATTTATTCCAGTTCCCACTTCAATGATATCTTTTGAACGCATTAGCATGTTACCCCTATCTAATTACTGATTTTCGGTTGGTTATATCCGCAGTGGCAATAACATTGAATGGTTGACTCAAGTAATACTTTTATGTCCTGCCTGCCAGAAATTCTGATTCAATTGTTAGGATTTTAACTTGGAATTTAGAAAGAGTGGTTGTAGCATCTGATCTATATTTGTAGCAATTTAGCTTTTAGAATCAATCTTTGAGCTGAATAATTTCTCCATCATGATTTTTGCATCTGCAGAGGATATCAATTGGTTACTTCTTGGCTTCAATCTCAGAGATTTGGCTTGTTAGTAACATCTCGGTCGACTCGACACTGGCCTTTGTAAGGAAATACTATATTCAGTGGTTAGTTCAGTCTTTTGGACCTTTACTATAGCTGTGGCTACCATTATTTCCCTTCAGTTGCTGCTTGTTCCTTTGAAGAAAAAAGGAAAAAGGGGGGCAGGGGATATGGAAACTGTCCATATTCTCTGTTTATGCAAGATTTCACCAAAGCATAGAAATTTGTGGTTCATAGATTTTTGACACTACACTTATCAGACTGTAGGCAGGATGAGAGGTTCTTTCATTAAGTAAATGTCTACAACATTAAAAATCTATTAACTATCAAGAGTTTGAGAAAATGTCATAGTGGGTACCTAGAGGAGAAGGGTGGATTGTAGCAAAATAGGGAGTTTGGAATATGCATCTCTAGTTTTTCCTTAATGTACAGGAGTGGGAAGCGCAATACATTTAGTTAGTGATTTTTTTTTTCTGGCTGAAATAGTTAGTGAATTTGGGTATCTCTGGGTTTTATGATGCATCTTCTCTCTTTCTAAGATATAGGAGACAATCTCTCTTCATATGTCATGGAGCTTTTTATCTTCTATGGAAATTGGTTTCTGAATCCAGGTGGAGACTATCTCCATTTCTCCTCTTGGAATGCACCATTAATGTAGCTACTTGCAGCCTTAATCACCGAGCCTTCAAATTGATCATCACAGAGGATGACTTTGTCTTTCTTTTCTATTGATTTATCATATGTAAGAAGTATGACAAGCTTGTCAGCTAAGCATGCCACAACCTTAAAGCACTTTCTTTGATGGGAAGTGTTACTAAGCTGATTAGAGAACCCGCAGAAAAATAACGAGAGAAAAGAAGGAAGAGAGAAGAAAAAGAGAGAGAAGAAGAGAGAAAGAAAGAGATTGTAAAATCCAAGAAAGGGGCTCTTGGTTTTACGTGTGTAACGAAACCCTACACCCATCACGATATATTTATATTAAATATGAATTGTATATGACCATAATGCCCTTATATATGTAAAAAGGAATAAAACCTAGAAAATCTTACCAGAGAGCCTTTAAGATATCGAAGAATGCGACAAACAAGATCCCAATGAGCTTTCTTGGGTGATTCCATAACCGACTCACCACACTAACAAAGAAAAGAAATATCGGGACGTGTAACGGTAAGATAAATTAGTTTCCCAACTAGACGCCAATACTCGATGTTTATCTTCGATATCATCTCCATCATCAACTCCAAACTTTTGATTTGGATCCATAGGAGTATCAACGGCTTGGAAGCTAGTGTACCGAGTCTCGATAAAAGATCAAGAACATACTTTCGCGGGACAAATTAATACCTTTCCTTCTTCGTAAAACTTCAATACCTAGAAAATACCTAAGAGCTCCCAAGTCTTTAACCGAAATTCTGTTGAAGAAAAGATTTAACCTCGAAATTCCGATCGCATCACTACCAGAGACAATTATATCATCCACATAAACAACAAGAATGACCACTCTCGACTCCTCCTTGCGAACAAAAACAAGAATGATCGAATAACATTGGTGAAAACCACACTTGGAAATCACTGAATGAATTTCTCAAACCATGCTCTAGGAGATTGTTTCAACCCATAAATGGCTTTATGTAGCTGGCATACTTTCTAGCGATCCTTCCCCTGGGCAACATACCCGGGAGGTTGCTCCATATATACTTCTTCGGACAAATCACCGTAAAGAAAAGCATTCTTGATATCGAATTGATATAATGGCCAATCAAAATTCACAAGAAGAGAAATAATAACACGAATAGAATTGAGACGTGCCACGGGGAAAAAGTCTCAAAATAATCCACTCCATAAGTTTGAGTAAAACCTTTAGCAACGAGCCGAGCTTTGAGACGCCTGAACCGAGCCATCCGGGTTATACTTGATAGTGTACACCCAACGACACTTCACCACATCTTTCCCAAGAGGAAGATCAACCAAAGACCACGTTTGGCGGACACCAAAGCTTCCATTTCTACATCCATAGCTCTCTTCCACTCGAGATGAGACAAGGCCTCGATGG